AATAAATTGCAATCAAAAAAAAATTAAATAACTGTTATAATTAAATATAAAATTAACTTACTTTTAAATCTTTTATGACAAATTGTATGTAAAAATTTATAAAAAATTACATTTATTAGTTCTAACATTTTTCTAATCAATTAATTATTTGATTTCTTAAATCTAAATTTGAAAAATATTTTCAAAATTACATAAAATAACCAAAAGCATGAAGCATTTCAAAAAGATATGCTTTATTACATTGTAACTTATTTAAAATATCATAATAAGGTAATAAAATATGAAAAAATGTATTTGTAACAATATTATTACATATTTTATTTGTAACATCCTTTTTTATTTTTCTTAATAATAAATTATTCTAAATATTTTATAAATAAAATTTTTATATGCAAAATTTAATTTGAAAAATTTTTACTTAATGTACAAAAGGCAGCTTTATAAACAAAATTTTAAATTATAAACAGTTTCTTGAAATTTTTAAAAAAATTTTTTTTTGCTAAATTATTTACATTATACATGATCTTAAATTTTAATTGGATAAAATTGAAATTATTAAAAATAAGATACGTAATATATTATTATAATTAGATTCATTCATAAAATATTTTGTAAATGTTCAATTTTTTCCTACCAATTATTATCAAGAAATATTTGATAAAATTCTGGATTTAGATAAAATTTATTAGTATTTTCTGAATCAATTTATGAATGTTCATGATGAATTGCTAAATTCTAAAAATTAATAAAAAAATAATTATTATATTATTGCATTATTATAAATAATAATTAATTAAAAAATTATATTACTCATAAAGCTTGTTTAGATTAGATAAGACTTTTAAAGCAGAAATAATGACTGTTCTATTTTGTTTCACTAGAAATTATAATTGAATAATAATTATTATATAACTCTTTCTAAATATCTTGTAATTTACTAATAAAATAACTATTATTTGTATTTTTACAGTAAATAGCAATTGTAATTGCTTTACTAAATGCAATTTTAAAGTTAGTGATTTTTTAAAATATTACAAATTACCAATTGACATTGGTATATAAAACAAGAAAAAAAGATAATTTCTAAATATTTTAATTAAAGTCATTATCTATTAATAAATTATTAAATAAATATTAATTTTAAATTAAATAATACAAACATTAATATTTATTTATTTTATTTACCATATTACAGCATAAGCTGGTATACTATTAGATATAATTGTATTGAGTTTAATACTTAACCTTTTAATTTTTTGAATCAATTCTATTATTTTTGATATTACTTCAATTAATCAGTTTCATTCATTACTAATATCTGAAGTATCCTATATTAAAATTTTGCTTGAAAATAATACAGTCAGGAAATATATCAAATATATTCCAATAATCATTTTCTATTATAGTAATAGATCTACTAATCAGAACATTTTAAATTTACACTAAATTTTAAAATCAAAATTTGATTGATTATAAATTAAAAAATTTAGCAGTTTATTTTAAACTTTGAAATAATATTTTATTTTTGAATAGTATTTTATTTTCAAATAATATTTTTTTTTTGAACAGTATTTTAGAACAAACTTATTTACAATATTTTATTATTATATTTATTATCTAAATTAAATGTATATTTTATCTGTTATAATATGCATAATAATTCGTCTCACTTTTTTGATTTTAAACTGGAATATTTTTTCTGAGCATTTTCATCAAGTTATTCAAGAAGGATTCCTACCTTTAGTAAAATTTCAAATTTGATCATATTTTCTTCACTTTTCTGAGTTTTTACTTCTTATTTTAAAATTGGTACTAAATAGAAAAGAATTATTTTTATTAATAAATGTTTTAATAATAAAATTTTGTTAAGCTTGTTTAACTATGTATGTAAAATTTTAAATTTTTGTTTAATTTATATTCTTTTAAACTCTAATTCATAAATTCAAACCTTTGTAGATAAGCTTAAAATCTCTAGCATTCTATAGATAATTCTGGTTGAGTTCTTAGTTTGATAGTTTAATAATCATTATATCTGATTGTTTTGAGTAAGGTATTTCTAAGCTAAAATTTTTATAAATTAAAAGTTTGTTTCATATTTATTTTACTAATTAATTTAATTAAAATAAAGTATTACTTCAAGAAATTTTTTATAGTTATGCATGGTGATTTTTCGATAATAATGTTGCAGAACAGGAGGTATTAAAGCTTTAAAATCTTGTTTACTTCTTTTATAATTACATTAAGCTCTTGATGCTATTTATAAATACTTGATCTAGAGACTACTATTTTTCTTTATAATTTTGTGTACTTCTAGATAAAGTTACATTAGTTGAACTTCATTAGCAACTTCTATTAGACGGTAAATAGGATGACACTTTGCAGACCAAATAGAAGAAAATATTCTTTTAGCGACTCTCTTTAATAAAGGATTATTAGTTCTTATAGCCTTTTGATAATTGATTATTGCTTGCAAGTAAATAAACATCTATTGTAATAGAATTAATATTATTATTCAAAAACTATATGACCTGTTTATATTTTATTTGATAAATTGAATCTTGCTATTCTTTGACTCAATTAAGATATCCTTCAACTGATAAATTAGAATAACTTTTTGCATATAGCCATATAAGTTTTATAGAAATTATCTGATGATATATATTACAGATAAAATCTTAAGATTTATGATAGTCTGCACATTTTTTGAAATAAAAGAGCTAGTTATTTATTCAGTAATCTTGTTATATTGCAAATCATTTTATATCAATTTTTTCCTATTATAAATTTAGTTATTAAATATTAAGAATATAATAAGTGGGTAAAAAGGATAAATATTAAAAAAAATTAACTTTTTATTTACCAGTTTAACTTTATAAATACCTAAAGCATATTTATTTCTTCATGCAGTTATCCTAGTATAAGTACTAATCAAGAAAATTTCTTTTTTAATTTTATAGTATAGTGCTATTGAACACTATCATAGACTACTGCTACTCATTTCTGAATTTTATTTCTAATATCTATTATCATTTTTATATATAAAAGAACCTTTTTAATATTCACAATAGAATTAGTATTAATATTGATTGAATCAGAAATATAAATTTAGAAACATTAACTTCCTGATCTATGAATCATTATTGAATAAAACTGATTCTAGAAATACATATAATACTTGACTTATCATTAAAACTGTACAGTTTAAAAATATGCAGATTATCAATTAGATCATTTTTGACTTTAACAACTTTTTCTTTTTAAATTTCAGTCAATGTTAGCAATCGCGTTTAATAATTTAAGTATGTTTTTTTGATTTTTAATATTTTATTGATGACAACTAGGACATTCTTTTATATTAGTAGTGTTAATTTCTGTAGATTATATAAGAAAATCAATAGTATTAGTAAAAAATAATTTTTCTTTAGATAATAAATTAAGAATATCAGTAAGATAATCATATAATTCTTTATCAATGATTTCTTGTATTTGAGGATTAATATCAAAAAATTCTTCATAACCTATTAAAAGAATCATATATTTATAATGATCAGTATGTTGAATTCTATTTTGCAACTTCATATTAAAACTAACAAACTAGTAATAATATGATAAATTACTGTATTAAAGCTTTAGTTAATAATTTTTCTGCTCTCTTTATTCATTATCAAATGTAAAAAATAAAAGTCCATCAGGTAATAGTTCTTTTTACTTTGATAATTCTTCTAATCATTTTTGAATCAATAATAGCTTCCTAAACTTTTAATATAATTATCAATATTAATAACCATTTTTAATCATATAAACGAATACTTAATAGTTAAGAGAGCAAGTTGAATTTCAGAATATACTTTCTATATCATGTATTATATATCAAACTAACTATAATAGTAGTTTTAAAAGTTTTTTTAGTCTAAAGTGTTAGTACCTTGAACATTTTGAATTAAAGTTTTAATAAATATAATAATAACCTTATTATATTTATTAAGCTATTTACGAGGACTATATAATACAAGACTTTTTCATAAAAAACTTAGTATTATTTTAGATTAATAATTCTAAATCATCAAATAATAATGAATATTTCGCATTTGCTATCTTAACAATTTCATTAATGCATTTTTATTGATCAATATATCTTAAATTCTATTGTCTAATAAGAATCTCATTATTCTTACATTGATTTTCATATAAAATTTGCATCTTATTTATATTGTTATAAGCCTGATATAACTGTTTCTTCAACTCTGCTATTTTATTTTTTTGGTCTTCTATATAATTTTACATTCGTATAACTTGATTATTAAGGTTTGCTATTGATTGTAATTTTTGCTGACTTTCTATTTACATAGATTTTAAGATTTTATCAAGATCAGCAATTGAATTAATATCATTATCCTTAAGCTGGAGTCTTTTATTCTCTTAAATAGAACCTATAAGATGCTAATAAAACTGATTAATAACAATGATTTGATTATAGTATTTTTCACAAATTGAATAATCATTTAAACAAAAATGATGGTTAGCAAGTTCAGGAAGGTAAATATGATATTGTAAAAGCTTCTTAGTTGTATTTTTATTATTAACATATCTCTATTTTTGTGATTCTTTAATTTCACAAGGTTTAATCCATTTTTATATTTTTTAACTAGATCCGCAAAAATGCATTCAAATAAGTAGTTACTACAAAAAAATTTATTTAAATTAGTTGAATAAAATTGTGTTCTTTATTTATGCTATTTAATAATATATAAAGTAAATACTAAGTTTAAGCTCTTATTTACTTTAACAGAACAGATTTAACTATAAAAACTAGATGTCTTGTTCTATCTGTTTTAAAAGTTTTTTATATTGAATAAATATTATAAAATTTTTTTAAAATACAAGTATAAAATAAATATATGAGTCAATCAAATTTTAAGAATTTACAATAGAATATTCTAAAACCTGTTTTTTTTTTGATATATTCCCTGACTGTAATATGAATAATAATCAAATATATATTATTTTAAAATGTTTTTCCATCCATTAAATGCTAATACAACTCCAATTTTATTATTAATCAATTTTTCATCTCTTAAAATATTTAAATTTTCAGTTTCTTTTATTAATATATAATTAAATAAAGCTTGTCTATTTGGTAAATAAGGTGTGAATTTAAAAATTCAAAAAATTTCAAGGTTGTTAGATGATCTACCCACTGAAATGGAAAATTATTTGCTACTGACATTTTTAATAAAAGGTATTCAAATTTTAGTATTTTATTTTTAGTAGAAGTTCAAATAAGATTATTTGTAATTGTATTTTTTTAAAATTAAAGTTACATATACATAATGATATTAATGAAAATAATCTAAATAACTTTATTGAATCCATTTTTACTAATTAAAATTTTGAAATTTTGAATTTATATTACAAAAATTTTAAATATTTTAACTTTTTTATTATTCTTATCTGGATTATTATTTACTTTTTACCATTTTTGATTTGTTTCTTCTATTTTATTATCTATTAAATTGATAATATCATTTAGTTCTTCTTGACTTCCAATTTTTTCTTGAAAATATAGATAGTTTTTTAAATGATTTTTAATTTGTGGTTTTTTATTTGTAAAAGTATTTTTTAAAAGCTCATTATTTTTTAGTTTTTTAACATAATATATGCTATATAAGTATTGCATGAATTTTATTTTTCCTAAAATCTTTATATATTTTATAAGACAGTAAGTTTTAAGCCTTTTCATTAGAAATAAAGAAAATAAAAATAAAGATTATCAAATATATATTAATTATATATATAAAATTAATGAAATTACTAATTTTAATATTAGAAGTATTGAAAGCTTCTATTGAATGCTTACAATTAAAGAAATTTGATTAGAAACTTCTAATATACATAAAATATTAAAAGATTTTCATATTCCAATATTTCTAATTTTTTTTAATAGAACTTCCAATTTCAATAAATCTTATTGGAAACTTCTAATATACATCACTGCTGTATATCTTTAAATTTTTTTGTACATCTACTGAATTTAATTAATTTGTAAATATAAGTAAAATAATTTATTTCAAAATTTTAGCATAGAAAGAGAAGATATCTTTCTCAGTTCTATTCAGTATTTATCTTAATTTGATTTATAAGAGTATGAGGTAAGAACTTTATAATTAGCAAAGCAAATAGGTATATAAATATAAAAATAATTTTATTAGCTATAAATATTGTCTAGAAAACTAACTATTAGAAATAAAAGTGTTATCATACATCTAAATAAAAATCACATCTCAATATTCATACAAGATTAAACAATTCTTCTATTAATAACTTAATTCATAATCCTAATAAGAATAATAATATTAATAATAAATAAGATTTTGAATATACTTTTGATATATAAAGATTATGTCAAATTTAAAACTTTATATTATCAAACTTGAAAAATTATAAAATACTCCTTTCTTTAGTTATTCCAATTCCTCTTCTTAAGAACCTATTAAACTTTTTATTTATCAAAATATCTTAAATACAGATCAGAATCTTGACTTTATCATCAGATAAAAATGTATTATCTAGATCTAGATTAATTTATAAAAAGATACAAAATACTATTAATAAATAAAATACAATTATCCTAAAATACAAATCTAAATACAAGTTATAATGATCTAATTCTAATCTTTTACTAACCAATTTTCAAAATAAAATGCTATCTTAATCTTTATTGTAAATCATAATAATAATAATAATAATAATAATAAAAATAATAAAAACTCAATTTCAAAAAGAAATTTTACAATTTTATTTACTATTTATAATGTATAATTATTATAATTAATTTAAAAAACTAACTAATTTATAATATAATTTTAGATTTTAATGCTGATTTTATTTATCTAATTGAGATAAAACATAAGTTTAAATAAGTTTATAAAATAAATATAATCACAATTTTATTTTATTTTAATAGAGTTTAGAACTGGTTATCAAAATCAAATTTATAATTAGACTTAAGATTATTTATTCAAACTTATTTTAGATTTGAAAAAATATTTAAATTATAGTTTTGTTAAATTTTTACTAAGATTTTGATATAGTTTTACATTTTTATAAGCTTTGATATAGTTTTATCTTTTCTAGAATTTTGCAGATTTTTTAATAAGATTTTATTATATTTTATTTATTAAATTAGTTAATTTTATAGTATAGTAAATAGTTAGCTATAACAAAAGAAATTTTGTATAAATAAATAAACTTTTTGCTTATGGTGTAAATTAACTCTCTTGCGAATATGAGTTTTAATATTAATAAAAGAATTGTTTAAAACTTATATTTTTCTGCCTCTTTATGTCTTCATATAATCTGATGTAATCCTTATATAATATTTGTAATTGAATTCATTATCTGAATTCTTTAATTAAACTGTTTGTAATCTCATCTTTTAAGTTTTCATACTTGATAGATTTGTTTAAGTTTAACGTGCAGATTTAATAAGTTAAGAGTTAAGCAAATCCTAACATCTTAATCACAGTAAGCTACAGTTAGTAACTTCAAGTAGAAATTTAATAACGTGATTAATCTGAGTTGAAAAATTTCACAATGACAATATATATAATAAATAATTCGTTATAATAAAATATCACCTAATCAGACTAATTAGAGTGGTTTGAATTATTATATAATAAAATTTTATATAGGAATTTTTTATTTTTTTTTATTAGTATCTATTTTACCAAGTATAAATAATATTATAATATAAGTTTGTAAAAAAAAAAAGTATCTGTTAAATTAAAATTAGCAGTTAATAAAAAATATTGATAAAGTTTTGATAAAACTTATTCAAATAAGGTATATGAAGATTTTTTATTTATTTTTTTATTTTTTTTAAAATTATTTTTTTATTAATTTTATATTATTTTCATTTTTTTTTATTATTTTTTTATATTTCTCTATCTTTATTATTATTTTTTTAATTTAATTTTTTTTATTTCTTTCTCTTTTTAAAATAATTCTTTTTTTTATATCTTTCATTCTTTAATTTTTCAAATGATTTATTTTATTTTATTTTAATTTTTTTAATTTTGTATTTTTTTTATATTCTTTCTTCCCTCCCTTCTTATTTTTATTTTTATTTTTATTTTTTTATTTTTTTTATATTTCCATTATTTTTATTATTTCTTTTTATTTTTCCTCTCTAACCTATTGATTGGTTTATTTCTTTTATTTTTTATTTTTTTATTTTATTTTATTTAGGATTGGCCTTCTTTGAATTTTAGAAACTAATTAATAAGTTATATTTCTTCTTTTTAGAATGGATGGACTTCTCTAAGAATATTTATTAATATTCTTTTCTTTTTTTTTTAGGACTAGCTTTCTTTAAATCTTAGGAATTAATCAGTAAGTTAAATTCTTCCTTCTTGATATAGATAAGCTTTTTAAAAATATTTACTAATATTCTTTTCTTCTTTTTTTTTAGAATTAATCTTCTTTGAACCTTAAAAACTAATTGGTAAATTGTATTTCTCTTTTTTTTTGGAATAGATAGGCTTCTTTGAGAATGATTATTAACATTTTTTTTTTTCTTTTTTAAGATCAACCTTTTTTAGACTTTGAGAATTAACTGGTAAGTTGTATTTTTTTTCCTTAAAATGAGTGAGCTTCTTTAAAAATATTTACTAATATTTTTTTCTTTTCTTTTTTAGGACTAACCTTTTTTAAATCTTAAAAACTAACTAGTAAAATATATTTTTCCTTTTTGGAAATGGATGAGCTTCTCTAAAAATATTTACTACCATTCTTTTTTAATCTTCTTTGAACTTTAGAAATCAACTAATATATTAAATTTCTTCTTCTTAAGATGTATCAGCTTTTTTGAGAATGTTTATTAATATATTTTATTATTTTTTTTATAGGATTAATTCTCTTTAAAATAATATCTATCTTTTAAAATTTTAATTATATCAAAAAAAATTTGTTATAAATAAATTTGTTATAAAATAATTTATTTTATAATAAGGTTTTTTAATAAAAAAATCTGTACTATACAAAAATTCATTGTATTGTAAAATTCGTTATATTAAAATTCATTATATTAAGAGTTAACTGTATTAAAATAATGTACATAAATATTATTTTATTAAATTAAATATAAATACTTTATAATTAATTTAATTTAGCATAATAAGATTGTCTAATTTAATCAATTTTAATTTATAATCAGTTTCATTTTTCAAATGTCAAAAAAACTGATTTTTAAAAATAAAATCAGTTCTAACTTCTATATTTTAGAGTTCATATATTAATAATTATGCTAATATTAGTATTCTTATTAATTATGCATAGGTTATTTATATTTAAAAAGTATTTTTAGATAATGATTGTTTTATTTATATTAATATATTTTTTCCTAAAAATGTTAAACTGAAAATATTTTCTATTTATTTACAAGTTGTAAAATCAGATAAAATTAAAGAAAATAAGATTAAAGCTTCATAAAATCATAATTAATTATGTTAAAGATAGTCTTAAATTAAATTTTAAAATTATCTTTTTAGGAGATTTTAATATTAGCTTTGACAAATATTAGTATTTAATTAAAATCTGTTTTATTATATAGAAGCAGTTAGTAGAAAAGGGAAAAATTCACTTTTTAATTAAAAATTTTTTATTGGTTCACTCTGCTAATTATTAATCATATGAACAAAACTAGCTTAATAACTAAAATTACTCAAAATTTATAAATTTCCTCCTTTTCTATTAACTATTCCCTATATATTAGAAATTTTGATCTTTATCATAAATTATTCACTTTTAATTCTCAAATTGATATAATTTTTATTTTATCTAATTTGATATTAGATTTCTTTACTCTTATATAAATTCAATTTTTATATATAATTTTGATTATAAAATTGTTTTAACTTCTTTTGCAAATATAAGAAACTAATTTCAAGTAAGATTCAAGTTCTTACAAAATAGATGTTTCAATCTAAAGGCTATAAACTCAGAAAAATAATCAAAATTTGCTAAATATACTAATTTCTATTACAATTATTATAATTATGATAGATCTAAAATCTTTTAACCAATAGAGCTAACATAATAAACTATAAGTTAATATTAAAACTGCTATATTGCAGCTAATTATAAAGAAATATTTTAAGTTTAAATCTTATTAAGTTAAAGATTGAAACTTTTATAAGCATTTTAATTCATATATTATTACTAGAAAAT